CTTGTGAAAAAGGTACATCACAAAAAGAATTTTGCTGGATACTGGAAATACTTTTCACCTAGTGTTTGCCAAGGAGTCCTGAAATGGACATACGGTTAAACGCAGTTGAATTTGGTGTTACGTTGCTATTTTTTTTTTTAATGCCTTTCAAGCCCTCTTGCATATGAGGGCTCAATTACAAGTTTTCATTCCATCTCTAGATTTTCTATCTTTGTAACATACTGGAGTTATTTTTTTAATAAAGTTTGAGAAAAAGATTAAATAAAAACCAAGAGCCGTAATATGGAAATTGTTACCAAGCACTTCGACAAGATGCATGTATAACCTATATATATTTCTTGAAGGACAGAGTTGTGTCTAGATATTTTTGTTTTATTATTATTGCCCCCTATTTTTGTGTTTGTGGACAGATGGACAGAAGCAGTTTATTATCTAGTAATAATTTGGTGTTTCGTTCTAAGTCTGTCATTTGAAAAAAGTCAAAGCAGACAAAACACAGCTGTACATTTTACTAAGAAAAATAAATTGAGGAGCCATATCTGAATTTTGTGCTTTTAGAATCTTCTTTTTCTGTTTTTGGTCATATCACAGACATTGGCTTAAGCTGTACACTGCTCTGATATGTTGCTCAATTCACTAAACTAACACACCAGGATAAGGATACTTATTTTCAAAAAAGTGAATTATTTTCAGAGTCCAATGAGACTTGAAAAGTTCAGTCACATGGCTAAAATAAAGATTCTTATCCTGAGGTTAAAGCTTTGTGAATTGAGCCTATAGTCACATTGGAATCCTGTATGCACAATTTCATTTGTATAAATGTAATGGTATTAACATGAATGTTTGGTCAGTATTAAATTAGAGTGCCTGTGTATGTGAAAATATGCCCCTTTCCTCCTAATTTGACTGGCTATATCGGATATATATTGTTTCAAATTCAAACACTGGACCTACAATACATGCAGTATACACACTGGTTACTGTTGAGTGATTGTACTTTGCTGATTATTTTATGACGAAGTAGGTTTATAAGTAGAACTGTCATTTAGCAGTGATGTGGACTGCACTGTTTGACAAACAGCCACACAGGGATATATTGGAAAAAATATTGCTTGGCAAGAATATACAAATGCAAAAAAGTCAAATATTTTTTGTATAGATGCTGTACTTCAAAGCACAAAATGAATACTTCCAAAAAAAATAATTGTTTTGATTTAATAAAACTTGTTCAAATGTGTACCACCTCTGGGAACATTCAAGGGATCGATATGATGACATCTATACCAAGTTGTTCCGTGATCATCTGTAGGTGAATGTTAAATGATCTATAAAAATGTATAATATCTCGATTAGGTGTTAAGCAGTCTAATCAAACCCTCATTCTGCTAGTGCAGCAATCCTTGAAGACAAACATTTGGAAAAGTAAAGCTATCTGTCCTTTCCTGGCAGCAGAGCTAAACCATAAAGATACCTGAAGACACAGAACCAGAAAATCTTATGACCAGCTTCATTGAAGCTTACTGTACTGGGTCCTGAGTGCACATCCTTTACCTGGAAGGCCAAACACTCAGAAAAGAACAAAATGTGATTTGTTAACTTTGAGATTTTTAGAAAAGTGTTTTTAGGCAAACAGCCAAGCTAATTGCAGGCCAGAGAAATAAATCTGCTTATCCCACACTGTGCCCCTGTGCAACGCATAATTCCAGACCTGGATTGAGAAGGTTGAATTTAGGACCACATATCTGAATGCAGTCTGTTAACCTGGATTGTGATGGTGATTTTATCCATATATCCATTGTAGAATTGTTACATATATTATGTAAGTAGCCTAACCTTACTACTTTGCCTGACCTTTTAACCCCTAAGGATGAAAGTAAAACAAATCGTAAGGAAATATATACCTTTCTGAGACCACGCTGACTTTGACATGATGCTGACATTTAATATGCTTTCACTTTTGTTGTGACAAGTTTACTGTGAGTGTCAGATCAGGCTCTACTATTGCAAAATAACACACCAGTAGATGTTCTAACCCAGGGGTGTGAAACTGGTGGGCTTCCAGCTGTTGCGAAACTACAAGTCCCATCATGCCTTTGCCCTTGGGAGTCATGCTTGGAACTGTCAATCTTGCAATGCCTCATGGGACTTACAGGTGTGGTACGTGTAAAACCTTCACACAAGGACAGGCGAGACCTAGTATCTCTCCAGCTCCCATCAATCTCCAATCTAATGCCTCATGGGACTTGTAGTTTGGCAACAGCTGGAGGGCCGCCAGTTTGACACACGTGCTAACCCTTCTTAGAAAGTTCCATTCTCTGGCCTCGGTGAAGATATGTAATTTCACTTCCTCTCCCTATAATAATTTGGTATGGAAGTCAGTGATAAAAATTTAACAAGGTTCTTAGCTTGCCCACCCTATCCAACGCCTAAAAAATGTTTGGAGTTGGCTTTTATTTGTAGTCTAGTATAAACTCCTCTTAACTACCTACCACCACCCCAGCTTCTTACCTTGTATTTACACCTTGCCCCACTCCAGCATCCTACTTTCCCTTGTATCTGCACCACCTCCTTTGCAGTTTTCTTCTTCTTGGGCCAAAATCCTCTTTGGTTCTGTCTCTGCCTACACACTAAGCCCTCTTTTATAGGGCATCCCATATACATGAGCGTCTTCCTGGGACAGTGTCATAGACGTGTATGAGGGTTCAGTTCAATAGCACCAAGGGGCATTTGTACATGAGAACGAAACATTGCACAGGAAGTGAAGCAGGTGCAGGGGTAAGTAAGAAGCTGAGCTGTATGTCCAACTGCCTTCTGCTATCTTTGGCACTATAACAGGATAGCGACCATGTCTTTGGTGCTGAGCTGGTGGTCCATGGGGGTACCAAAAAGACACAGGACAGTTCCTTTAATGCCACAGTATACCTTAATGTGCGTTTAAGACTTTTTGATCCTGAGTTTATTGTTCAGGAAGGAAGTTAGCTTTACTTATTTTAATGTTTTATTCATTAAGAATATTAGCATTACCAAGGCAGCCAATACGTTAGCCTTTTTTTTTTTTTTTTGTGCAACCCACATCCACACATTCCAGGTGGATAGATGAATCCTCTGCTGAGCTATTGTATTCTGACAACAGGGAGAGTTCCCTGCTACCAGAATACACTGACCAGTGCAGCTGGCAGAGCTGATAATGTGGAGATTTTCCAATAGGGTGGTTGTACAGAAGTTGATCGGTAGATTGACTTTTGTACAACCTGCCTGCCCATACCTGGATTGAAAATCGCCCGGTCCCTGCTGAACCAGTGGAATATCAATTGGCTGCCATTACTGGCCTTTTCTATAAATGCTAGTTGCCTGACATTCAGTACTTTGAATTACTGACTTAAAACATGCATGCAACCAGTCAATCAGAAGTCAGAACTTCTGCATACTTTAATGTATAATGTACTATTAGTTTCAAAATACGTTTAAGCCTTTTTTTATTTAGTTTTAGATAGAGGGATATTGATGGCAAAAAAAAAAAAAAAAAACAAAAGCTTTAGCCCTTTCCACACTACCCAGAACTAAATAAACATTTTGGCTGGAATTTCCATTTTGGCTTCCTCTCCCTGACCTAACCCTCTCCTGTCCCAAGATGCATTCTTATCTCCATATATCAGTCCCTATTTATTTACATCCAGAGCAGGAATTCTGCAGTGTCCTGATCATGCCTGCACATTGCATTCATAGACCTTTTATGGGGTTGTTTTCTGAGTGTCTCTGGCCTCAGGAGATAGTCCAATAGATACCTATGACTTGCGTTCATGTAAAACAAATCGTGCCACTGAGTCCAATAACCTCTTCACGCCGGCCGAACACAAATGTGCGGCCTCCTGGCATCTGGGACTAGACGCTGAGCAGCTGCACATTTGCGTTCTATTAAAAAAGAACATATGTGCTGAGAGCACGCTGCCCCAGCACACATGTCCGGTACCTACGGAAAGGTCCTGATCTCCTCTTTCGATCGGGACCTTTCCCAATCATGTCACGGCGGTCACATGATCCTAAACCCTACCTTGCCTCCCGGCTTCTGAAACCCTTAAAGGGCCGGGAGGCGCTGGCACGAAGGGGTTAAATGGAGAGGGAAGTATGCATTTGGGGATAGCGTTAGCCATATATAGTCACATTAAAAATGCAAGTTTTTCTGCATTTTTTTAGCGTTTTTGCATTAGGGTTTAGCCACGTTTTTCCACGTTTGCATTTTTTTTAGTGTGTTTTCCACACAGAAATAAATTAAATTTTTGCTCAAAAAATGCTGGTTTACAGCGTTTAGCAGCCTTAGAGCGTTTTTACAGCTAAAAAAAACTCTAGAAGCCCACTAGTTCTGTTTTTTTTGTTTTCCCAGCCAAAAAACGCCGATTAATGCCTATGTGTTCATGGACAGATAGGATAACATACTTGGGAGTTTACTGGCTGTAGAAAAAAAAAAACAAAAGCCAAAAACAGCAGCTGCTAAAATGTCCAGTGTGCATGAGGACTTAAAATCAACAAACCTGCAGCAGTGTGTTGCATTGTTGGCCATTCATAAAGATTTATTTCCAAATCTCAGATGAATGAAAAAAAAAACCTTTTGGTCACTCTGGGTTAATGTTTTAGATTTTGCACCTTAAATATGCCTCCATCAGCTTATACTGTATGTGTAATAATTTCAATATGCTTTCTGCTTTTATGGAAGGCTAGCACTATGTAACAAGCTGGCATTATAATTATGGAAGGTTCTGTTGTGTACTGCACATTTTCATAATCAAAAATGTAATGTAGTGGTAAATACATAAATAATCTGAACATATAAGATAAGAGTTTTAGCAAAACTAGTCCTGCATTGATTATATGGGGCAAAAAGATGGTAATGTCATATTTAGGTGACTGAAGTCATGCCCTTTGAAATTTGAAGATTCCCCTTGTGCCTCTTTTGAGACCTCTGATGTTGTCCTGTCTCGATAACTCTCTTGTTCTGTTCAGTGTTACTGATCCTCCTCAGCCCCATTTGTGGTAGTACGTGATTCTCTTCTCTCCAGTGCTAGCTGAATGTCCAGTTCTCTTAGCTGTTTCAGGAAGCCCCGGTTGGGAAGAATGCAGCGATGCTTCAGGACTTGAGCTATGGCATCAACTATGGTCATCTTCTCATAGATCATCAAGTATGCAAGGACAAGAGAAGCAGAGCGGCTGCGTCCCATTGCACAGTGCACAAGCACCTTACCTGTGGAAAGAAGTGGGTTATAAACCTTATTTGTGGCAAGACTTTCCATACAAATAACATCCATGTTTTTTAAGAGGGTTATTTTCCCTGGGGCCAGTTTCACACATGTACTTGGTGGTACAGTATGCATGTTGCCATAATGTGCCATCAGTGGTGCAGTGCTGTGCTGTTCATTTTGAGTGGAACTCCAACATACAAATGTGGCAGGGCACTACCACATGGACAGGACTCATCTGTGGTGTGGTGCATTAAAAAACACAAGACACTTGTCCGGTTTTATATGTGTTAGCCACCTATTTTAAATGGATGGGCTGCCCAAACAGTGCACATTGATGTGTTTGAGGCAATGCACCAAAATGTATAGACTCTAAAAGGGAACAATATTTAGATTGCTATTGCTGCCTGTGTTCACATTGGGGAGATCTACGGTGAAGACCTTATTGGGCCATGTAGTGATTGGATATCTCTCTGAGGAGAGACAATTAGCACAAAACAATTTTTTAGTAGGCCTAATGTGTTAGGTGGGGACTGATAGAAAGAATCTTCAAGATGAGAACACAGACGGCACTAAAAGCTTGACAGAGGTTCTACTCCTTTCAAAGTCTCAAAAAATATTCCATTACTGTTTGGATTTCAGCTGCAATGTGATGTAGTTGTGAGTGGCGTTACGTGGGTGTTGCTCTCATAGCGGATGTCTTCCAAATCATGCTATGTTCTTATTCTATTCCTTTGTTTTAATATAAAGGGGCTGTAATTCAGATTTCCAACAATGCCCCTTTTTTTAGTTATGTCGTTCTCAGTGATTTAATTTTCTGCTGCTGCTTTGAAAGAATTAGAAATATTTTTTCTTTTTGTTCTATTGAAAATTTACAGGATGAGTTTAGTAGAAGATTAGTTTGGGAGGAGGAAGCCAAATTTTCCATAGAAACATTGACACGACATTCCATTCAGATAATATGTTGCCCTAAAGTTTGTCTAACCAGATATAACTCCTACTGCTAGTGTCCTTAGAGGATTGACATCTCTTCACTTTGGAAAATATACCCATTTTTATGTGTATATTTATTTTCCTTTTTATCAAGAAACGTTGTCTTCAATCAAGATTAATAGCTACGCTGCTGAGCTGGGCTCGTTAAAGCTATCTAGATTGGCTAGTCTTCAGCACCACCTTGTAGGCCCATACCCAGACCCTGCTGGACCAAGGATTACAAGGCCAACCTGTAATATGGTGTTTGGTCACTTGACACTGCTTATGCCCCTCTCCAGACACCTAGTGTACTGGTTTGCTAATCTAAGAGCACTTTACAGATCCAGCCTCTAGTGTGCACCAATAGCTGAAGTCCTGCTGTGTGAGTATTCCCGCAGACAGGGCAAACATCACCTGGAATGTGATCTTAAGGCACTGGGCTCTGCATGTGGTGCTCTTTAGCATCTCAATACTGCACTTGTTAGCTGCAGAGCGCCTTCCAGGTACACCCCTAATATAAATGTTTAAGGACTTTATCCTTTATTTTTGAGCACAGTATACTAATGAGCACCACCATGTGCTGGAGTTTTAAGTGCTGTGTCGCTAATGCTTGCGTTGGACTGATGCTCTATACCCCATGTTCCCTCCTTTTGTGGCTCTTTTTTGTGTTATTACTATAGGATAGTTGGAGGTTTTCTTCTTTCTTTCATCCCTCTCGTTATTGATTAGTTTCTTACTTTATAGAACAACCTATGTAGCGGCCACCTTATCCTCGAGATATTTAGAGAATGATGGGTTACTCATCATTTTTGAATCTAAGGATATATTGTACTATACATCTACAATTTGTACCTTTGTCTCCACATTGATATAGTCACATTTTCAGCTTTCTTTCTACGATAGATTCATCTTCCGCTTTATGATAGATAAACTATCAAAGAGAACCCACTGTGGATGACAAATCGGTTTTCCCATACATGTTATCTTCAGGAATACATATTGCATAAGGTTTTTTTTGTTTGTTTTTATTTTTTTTTGCGATATGAATGTGTGTGTGAAATATTTCTTGCTCTTTCAACTTTTCTAGTTTTTCTGGGGGTTTGTTTGTGGCAACCTCAGTGTGGTACCTTGTGAACTTTCTCCCAGGGGGACCGACACCTGGCGAATCACTGGGGTGCTGACAGAGGACGACAGACTGTTTTTAATGTAATACGGCTATGTTTGTTGTAACGGCATGTATTATGGATGGTCTGTGTTTTATCATGTGTTACATGATCTGTGTATACAGCTTTACATGTACATCCTTATTGTTTTTTTTTATTGTATTGTGAACCTAGCTCTACCATCCTCCTCTGTAATTCTACTCCTGATGAAATATATTGGTCTGAAATGCGTTGGATATCCCACTGAAGAAGTTTTGTTTTCTCCTTACCAACAGTGGAAGAAAGAAGATGCTCTACAACATAAAGTTTATTACCTATGTTCTTGAAGATGTAGCTGCTGAGATTTGTTTTTCTAAGAGCTTTTTATTTTACTTCAGTCCTTTTTCAAGTTGCCTTAAAAGTCCAATACAACGATCAGGGGTCTTTTTAGATTCTTGACAGTTTTGGTAGGTTGGCAACAACATAATGGCTCTTGGTGGACGGGCTTCCAACAATGTTCCCTCTTTTTGAGCGTAAGGGAGTTCCCTTAGCATTGCTCTGAGAGGGTCAAATGGTTGTTGCCCAAGTTTGCCTTTGCTGACACCTTTAGTGATTTGGTCTCACTTTCACCTATTTACACCTCCTGTTCTCAGCAGCTTGTTAAAGTCCTCATTCACACGGGCGTTTTGATAACACTGGTAACGTTAGCTGTGTAAACTCAGGTTAAAAACTTGAGTTTTTCATCTTTTTTTTAGCGCTTTTGCATTAGCATTTAGCGTCGTTTTGCCGCGTTTAGCAGTGTTTTCCCTCGTTTGTGTTTTTAGCTGGGTTTTTTTTACCCAACCCCCCCAATTTTTTTTGGTCAAAAATGGCGGTTTGCAGAGTTTTACTGTGTTTTGCCACGCTTTTCAGCGTTAGAGCGTTTTTACAGATAAAAAACTCCTCTAGAAACCCACTAGTCCTAGGTTTTTTTTCCAGCCAAAAAATGTCCCAGCCAAAAACCTTTGATTACTGTCTGTGTGTGCATGGACACATAGGATAACAGGCTGGGGGGTTTACTAACTGTAGATAAAAAGGTCAAAAGCCTAAAACAGCAGCTGTAAAAACGTCAAGTGTGCGTGATGACTTATGAGTACACAAAGTATATTCTTGGTGTGTATAAGTTGCAGGCAACTCGTTGGATCTCTAACTCAGAGACAGAGGCCAGAATGGTCACTCCAGCTCATGATCTACTAACACTTTAGCCTGTTATGGCATTTGAGCACTGAACTCTTCATGTGGAGCATTCCAGCCCTCTCGTGTCCTGTGTCAGCCACAGATCACTGTGTCTCTGCTGAAGCCCAGTCTCTGATGTCTATCAGTGTATGTAAGCCTCTACATGGGGCAATAAATCCTGATATGTCTTGACAACTATGCTTCGCATTAAAGCTGTTTTAACTGCACGGCACGGCTCCTTTTCAGAGTGGTTTCACAACTGATGTCTGTACATTTGCATTCTGAGTAAACTGCTGAATGTTATGAGCTGAGAATTGTGGCCTTGGGCGCTGGGCTTTACATTGTGACATTTACCTTAGAGCCATGGCTCAGTTTTTGCTGTGTCCTAGATACTGTATACTGTCTTTCTCTAAGTGAGTTTATGGATTGAGGTTACCGCATCTTCGTATGAACCTCTTACACACTCATCTCTTTAAAACACAGAAAACAGTTCACAGGCAACTAACAGGTGATATGATGCAGAGTACAATCCAGTTTCAACACTGTGGTACAGCCTGTAAGTGTAACCCAGTCTCCTATTTATTTAAGACTGGCAAGTTGCATTAAAATGAATGTGACCAACTGTAGCTTATGAAGCGCCTTTCTCTTTGAAGATTCACACCTTTTTTATTTATTTTACCAGGGTAAAGAATTACCTGAGGCACTCAGTACAGATGTATCTTACATTAAGACAGTGCCAGGCACACATTCCTTGTTTTTCTTCCATATCTTCAGCTCATATCAATGTCTATAGCTCCACTGCTGGTGACTGAGAATTATCCAACAGGCCTCATTTCCACTTCTGACCTGTGTCAGTGTGTAAAAACCTCCCTGGATGTAGTCGGAGCTGTTAGCCTACCTCAAAGCAACAGCTTAGATCAAGAAGATGGATTCCCTATTTGTCCTGTACTCAGGACCCCAAAAGAAACACCCTGCTTCCAAATATACTATTGCTTGATGGATAAGATATCGGATTGTTAGAGCTTAAACTCTAAAGAACAAATCTACTACTGCGCTTGTATACATCCATGACATCATATTGGTGGGAGTTTCCTGAGCTTTCTGGCACCAAGCATCTGTAGCCCAGCTTTGGAAGGTCAACACCTGGTCCTCTGTCCATACCTTTTCTAAATCCAACCAGGTAAATGTCCAATCTTCTGTAGATGAAGCTTTCAGCTGCAATATTCTTGCGGCAGCACTCTGAAGTTGGGTCTTTGGACCCTTGTTGTTCCTGTTTGCCTACTTGTTGCCCAACCCTTCACATTCATTGTTTGGAGATGTCCCAGGGTCTGTGGCTATTTTGTCTGTATCCTGTAGTGTACATTTAAGATCAGAGGAGTTTTGACTTATTTGTAAATTTCATATCTTGGAGTACAGGACACCCTCCCTTCCATTCCTTGGGTATTCTGGATTGCTTGCTACAAAACTGAGATCTCATGGAGTGGAGTAGGGTTATAGGGGAGGCACCCAGGGCATGTGTCCTCCAAAGCTTGCCAGTTTCCAGTCACCTGATGGTATGAGCCTATAACCCACAGTCTAAATATCGTACCTGTGTTCTGTACTATACTCCAAGATACAGAATTTACAGTAAGTCAAAATACCCTTTTTGTTTGCCAGAATCCAGTTCCACCCAAATGAAGCAGTATAACCTACTTATCTGATTGTATCTGATTCTGTGTCCCTTCAGCAGGAACCAGCCAACTTTCGGCCTGTGTGTACAGCTCCTTGTCCAAAAGAAACTGGTCTCCTGACCAGCTTCTGTTGAACGGGCATGCTGGAAAACCAGAATTTGATCAGCATCTGATCAATGCTGGCAGCCAGTGGCTGATGGTGTGTACTTGGCTTTAACCACTTCATGTCCGGACACTTTTACCCCCTTCCTGTCCAGGCCAATTTTCAGCTTTCAGCGCTGTCACACTTTGAATGACAATTGCGTGGTCATGCAACACTGTACCCATATGAATTTTTAAGCATTTTTTTGAGACAGATAAAACTTTATTTTGGTGGTATTCACCACTGGGATTTACATTTTTTTGCTATATAAATGAAAAAGTTTGAAAAAAAAACTTTTTCTTATAAAATTTTGCAAATAAATAATCTTTCTCCATAAATCTTGGCCAAAATGTATTCTGATATCTTTAATAAGAAAAAAAAAGTTTATAACCAAAAATTTGAATTTTTAAAAAAATGTTTTTTACATTTGTATTTTTTATTTGTTTTGGGGTTTTTTTTTTAACATACTGTCACCCTAGCAGTACAGTGTCACCATGGTGACACTGTACTACTTGTGGGGGGTGATGAAGATTTTTTTTTTTTTTTTTACACTGATTGCTTTTACACCCATAATGGCTGTAAAAGCAATCATTTCTCCCTCTCTCTGGCTGCATTTGCAGCCATTGAGAAATACTGTGTGAGCTGTGATTGGTCACAGCTTGTCACATGGTACAAGGCTGTTGTGAATGGCCTTGTACCATGTGATCTCTGTGATCATTCACAGATTTCACACGTAGTGAGCAATGATGTCAGAAGTGACATCTTGCTTACACCTATTCATGTAATCACTGATTGGCCAATCAGTGATCACATGATCGGGACCTCACACAGATCGATCTTGGACACAGCGGGCACCGGATCGCGGTGCCGCACGCTCCCAGGGAGCACGCACAATCCAAAATGGCGGGCGCCATTTATGAACGGCAACCACCCCTACACTGCCACCGTCCGGCCGTTTATATACAGCGGCCAGACGGGAAGTGGTTAATGAACTCTGAAGAAGAAACTGATTTTATGTTCAGTAAAAAGACTTATCTCCATTATTTTTTGCTATCTGTGTACCATTGGAAAAATTTCCTAGAGATACAAGATAGGATAGCTGTCCAAGGGGCAAGTGCTCCTATTGGATATCTCCTCATGTCTTGCTCTGAGGACAACTCTATTGCTACTGAAACAGAAAATGAGTGAAAATCAATCATTTTAGACATCAGTACCAAGGGGCGAATCTCCCCATTTGGGACACAGACAGCAATACAAACTTGACAGAAGCTCTAACCCTTCCACACTCACTAAAATAAAAAAAAAATACCTAGGGACACACTTTACAGGACGATTTTACATTTTAGTATCGAGTAAACCTACCTGAGTGTAGCCTGCCTGGGAAAATACTTTCCTTCCAGATCCTTCAATCTTCATTGGATAAGTAAAGCATATCAGTTGGGGGTCCTCTTTCCACTGCTCATGAGTGTTACAGCTCCATTCATTCCTATGAAAAGCCATGGCAACTGAAGACCACCATGGGTATGGCTCATCTGTAGGAATGAGTGGAGCTACAACGTGCATGTGCAGGAGGAAGTGGACCAAGCTACCATGTTTTTCTTGGAAATGTTGTTCAGCACAGGGAAGATTGTGGAGAAGAAGTTTGTGTTTTACCAGGTAGGTCGCACTTGGGACAAAGAGGGGGGTGGTTACTTGAACAACAAAAAAAAAACCTGCAACTTTAGTTTTAGTAGTTTTTTTTTTTTTTTTTTTTAATGCAGTGCACCACGATGCATGACAAGTGCTTGATGGTGAGCTGCAGGGCAGGTGTGTTGCCCACTATTGTAGATTTGTGCATTAAGGTGCCATTCTACATTAATCCCTCAGTTTGTGCATTGTGGTAAGACATGCATTTTACCTGTGCACTGCTGCAGAGAGCACAGGTCTGAATAGGCCCTAACAGCTTTGTAGATGAAAGCAGAACTACATATGCTATGATCCTATGTTACTGTCAGGACATGTCTAATAGAGGGCGAAAGATAACTTCACATGATGATGAGCCTATTCATCCTATTTTATATGTCAAACAATGTAGTAAACTGAAAACACAGTGGAATACTTAAAGCTTGCTTTCTTCTGCCACTCTACACCCTACTATCCTCACTAATAACTGGCTAGCCTAGGCAGGAGAAGAAAGCACTTTTTTGGAGTTGGACACTGACACTGAGATTAATCCAACAGCCATGACCAATGACTTTTAAACGCGGTTTTGCTTAAAATAATGAGCAGTATAGCAATGCCCTCTATAGGAGGTAAATAACGATATAGTTTTTTCAGAATGTAAATCGCAGATGTTGCACTGTGACAAGGTATAAGGTTTCAGACTTACTGCTGGGGTTGCTCAGGGCCTTGTGGATGAATTCCGCTGCCGGGTAGAAGAACTGGCTCAGGTTAAAGGTGGGCAAGTCATCTGCTTCTACCCCATAGTATTCAATAGGCATATCACTGTAGTATTCTGTTCCAGTATCCACATTCCAGCGCCCATGTGCTGCGTTTACAATGTGTGTGAAGCCACTTTTTTCCAAACCATAGCGGTCCAGAGCAGTTTTTCTGTAAAACCAGATTTAACATTATACATAAACATTTTAGTCAAATTTTACAATACAACACGTGGTGGATAAGTGCAGTGGTGCACTTATCAAGATAACAATGGACTGCCAGCTGGAAAGGTACAATTTCAACTTTTATATATATAAATGGGGGTGGCTGCTTACATTTTGTGATCCTGGCAGCTAGGTCACTGTAATAAACATAAAATTTTGTACCCAGAAACGTGTTTTTTTTTGTTTATTTTTTTTTTCATAAAGTAAACTTGTCCTTGGATAAATGTGGGGGCTGCCATTTTTCAAAAAAAATAGAAAGCTAGTTGCCTGGTTTCAGTAACTTCTAAGTCATGGACCTGGAACAAGTATTATCTCCACCTGAGAGACTTAACTGCCAGACAAATTACATTTTCATAAGTCCACAATGGCAGCCACCACTTTTCCATAAGGACAGGTTTCCTTTAAAGTGTTACTAAACCCACAACAATAACATCAGTCTGTATATGCAGTAAAGTCTGCTTGTTATACTCACTGTGGAACCTAAAGGTTTAATCCTCTGCATTGTGTAAAAAGGCTGTTTGATCCTGTCTTCTCTGATCCTCCCCTACTTCAAGTGTCCCCCTCTTATCTCCTGATAAGACATATTATGTGGAGTCACTTTGCACATGCTTAGTTTGGTGTGTACTGCTAGAGAGGCTTTTTTTTTCCTTAGGAGAGTGCATGTCATCAGCACAGGGCCAATCAACACTGTCCAGACAGAGGTGATGGGTTCTGCATCCTCCTAGAGCAGAATGAAAACTCCTACAAGCTTTAACAAATAATTGCAATTTCATGTTCTGTGTACTGTGGGAGACCAGATATAGTGAATGCAGGGTCCTGATTTTAGTAACACTAAGTCTGCTCTTGCTGTTCTGGTCGCTCTTATGCAGCACAGTATTACCAGCCTTTCTGAATATTTTTTTTTAACCTATGAAGTCTGATTCATTATTGTGTAACTGCCTGGGGTATTCTGGGACTTCAGCAATAAGCAAATCAATTTAGGATTCTGAAATTTCTTATTCAGAGCTTTAAAAGCTATAAATATCAGCATGTTTGAAGCTAAGCTGTGCAATCAATATATACTTTTATAATAATTTAGGCGATGTCATATTCATACTCACTCATCTCCAATGTGAAGATTGGGGAAAACTTCATTGACATGTGTGAATTTGGCTGCTCCATGCCAAAACAACCTCTCCAGCTCAAATGCCCCTGGAGTGCTGTACCCGGTGTCAGGATCTACAGCGACCGCTGCATAGGCATTGCGCTTCTTCTGGCTAGTGGTGTTTGCAGGCATCGTTACTTGGGCTACTGACTAGGTACTGTATCGCTGTGGTCCCTACGCAGATGAAAAGCTAAGTATTAGTTACAGAGTTATGTAAGATGAAAGAAGACATGAGTCCTTCACACTTCTGCTGTCAATGTAGAATGTCATGTGTGCCATTTGTTAAACGTCATCTTTATCATTTCTCTAGGAGATAATCATCTGCTGAGAGCTAAATATTGAACACAAATACCCCTTAAGAAAGCCATGTGCTACATATTATAAAACACATTATAGAACTTCCTAACCTGTCCCAGATTTAATAAAATAGTTCAGAAAAAAACATCCCCTCCTCCCTCGCCCCCAAAAAAACTGTACTAGTAATGTATAACAGGAGTAGGTTGATAAACAGACATACACTGTTTTATATACAGTATGTTCAGAGGATTGTAGCGCATAATACAGTTATTTCACAAGTTCTTCCCATTCCACAGTAAGTGACAGATTTATTTATTTTTTATGAAGCTCAACATAACTTGCCTGCAGCTCTCAGGAGATCCTAAGCACCCAACATTAACATTTGTTGCCAATCTACACTAGGGCATGATATTTATAGCAAAATGTGCTTTATCCAGGTTTGCACATAAAAATGTCCTTCACTTTCTAAATATCTAAGAAATACATATAGACTGTCACTTTTGACCTTCTAAACACGCTAGTTGCCTGGCTGCAATAGGTGCAGCTCGTCTGCATCCTTGTTCTGAATCCATGACTTTGAAAGTGTGGACGCCATTGCATCAATATGACGGCCTGGCAACTAGAACACAGTCATATAACAACCATCCTTATTTCCACATTAGAGCAATACGTGGTGTTTAAATACATGATTTAGGAGAAAAAAAAGTAATTCCAACTCTGAAAATATTAAAAAAAGCCCTTTATTATTTGCAAAATCAAATATTGATACTATAATTTACTGTGAGGATATCTACAGTATATATGTATAGTATAAAATATTCTTATCACCTCTTTCTCATACCCTACTGCTATTTTGTGTTTTTTTATGCATTTATAGGTTGTTTCTGAATTCATGTATAATGATTTTTTATTTGGTATTATTCACAAGATGTAATTAGCAGCGTTATATAGAAAATAGAATCCTTACTTCCTGAGGCAAATTAAATCCCCTCAACATGTCTAAACACATGTTAACACAAGTGCATTTAAATGCAGGGGGAAAGTCATTTGGGAAGCAGAAAATTTGTGTACGTCCCAGATAATTTCTCCTACATATAATCACCCCCACTACCAGCCCTTGTAGTAAAATGGCTGCTATGGAGAACAGTTATTCTGAGTTGATAATTTTAAATATCTTAAAAAATTGATAGTGTTGCATGACAGAGTACTGGTCAGTCAAACTATCTCATCACTGAAAAATGGCCTGGAAAGAAAGGGGGGGTGTAACATGCTGGTACTGGGGTGAAAACCTAACTGCAAGAACTAGTGAGAATGTAGCTGTATGCATTTTATTTCCTTTTTACACTACTATATATCTTTCATTACTGTCGCGTTAGTAATTTTTGTTCAATTGTATGAATTGTGCAGGTTTATACTGTTGAATTTATAGCAGATGTATTACATAGTCTGGCTGAAAAAAAGACAAAAGTCCATCCAGTTCAACTATAAAAGAAAAAGGAAAAAGTTATCCTATACCCACAGTTGATCCAGAGGAAGGCAAAATAAACCCAGCAAAGCATGATCCAATTTGCTCCTGCTGGGAAAAAAATTCCTTCCTGATCCCCCAAGAGGCAATAGGATATTCCCTCTATGCTATGGCTACAGTTAACCCCTTGAACACCATAAACAGTTGTTAAACAGCTGTCATATACAGTAATTGGGACAAAGTGATAAGTAATCAGTTAAGCTCCACCCTATAGCAGGTTTACTGCAGCACTGATCAGTCAGCAGATTCATGCCAATGATATTCCGCCTGGATCAGCTGAGTGATCCCTGCCCTATCACAGATCTTCATGTGCCTGTGTTTACAATACACAGGCACAGGAAATGATGCAATCTTCTGTCCCTGGAGCACATTCCATTCCAGTGAGAGAAGAAATAAGATCCAAGTGAGTCAAAGCACTACACTTTTACAGTAAAAGCACTAGAGATCACATTTAACCCCCTGATCTCCCCCTAGTTAACCCATTCACTGCCCTGCCGCCAGTGTATAGATTTTTTTATTGATCACTGTATTAGTGTCAAAAGCGACTTCAGATAGCGTTAGCGTCCCTCCCAGATAGCATCAGATTTCCCGCCACTGTATCAGTCATCACATTTAACCCTTTGATTGCCAGGAACACGCTCACATACACAATTAACCTCCATTGCTAGTATAGCGTTTGAACGGATCAATATCTTTGATCAGATCAGCACTATACCAGCATTCACAATAGTATAATGTCCCCAAAAAGGCAGCGTTAGCAGGATCAGCCCCGGCATCTGCCAGAACCTGCGTTTAGTCCTTACGCTTAACCCCCCCTTCTCCTCCAGCAAGTGCAGTGTCAGTAGATCACTTTCACTTGATACATTGCACACAAACTGCACGGTTAGCAAGATCCCTGGTGGCGTAGTGTGTTACTGATGGTAGCCTTTGTTAGGTTGGTCCCAGCTCTCTGCAGGTCATTCATTAGGTCTCCCCGTGTGGTCCTGGGATTTTTGCTCACCGTTCTTGTGATCATTTTGACCCCACGGGGTGAGATCTTGCGTGGAGCCCCAGATCGAGGGAGATTATCAGTGGTCTTGTAGGTCTTCCATTTTCTAATTATTGCTCCCACAGTTGATTTGTTCACACCAAGCTGCTTGCCTATTGCAGATTCAGTCTTCCCAGCCTGGTGCAGGTCTACAATTTTGTTTCTGGTGTCCTTCGACAGCTCTTTGGTCTTCACCATAGTGGAGTTTGGAGTGTGACTGTTTGAGGTTGTAAACAGGTGTCTTTTATACTGATAACAAGTTCAAACAGGTGCCACTGACACAGGTAATGAGTGCAGGACAGAGGAGCCTCTTAAAGAAGAAGGTACAGGTCTGTGAGAACCAGAAATCTTGCTTGTTTGTAGGTGACCAAATACTTATTTTCCACCATAATTTGCAAATATATTCTTTCCAAATCAGCCAATGTGATTGCTTGATTTTTTTTTCTCATTTTGTCTCTCGTAGTTGAGGTCTACCTATGATGCCAATTACAGGCCTCTCTCATCTTTTTAAGTGAGAGAACTTGCACAATTGGTGGCTGACTAAATACTTTTTTGCCCCACTGTAGATAAAAAAATAAATTATAAATTTCCACAAGGCTCAATAGTGTAGCAAAACAAAGCCTCATAGTTAATTTTAAACTTACAATGTATTCTAGAAAGTATTTCTTTATGAGGGGGATAACGAATGTCAAATACAGCAAAGGTAAAACGTGCAAATAAGTAGCATTATATGCCAGAGAAAGTGGGGAGTTGTAGAACTGGAGAAGAAAGAGAAGAGGGGAGGATGGGTATCAATAGATCATCCTGGGGTGGGCATTAATTACTATTACTGTGTAAAGCACGTTATGGGAGTTATGAGCCATTAAACATTCTGGAGCCACAAGTTTGGATTGTGATAAAGAATTGCATATCAATTGACAGGATGAAAGACACTGGTGAAGCCTAAAAATGTGCATAACACCATTGAACCAGGCTTTGGATATGACTCATGAATGCATCCACCTCCAATATACTGTATTCCCTTTGGTTACCATAGATGTGATAATGGTGATCAGCAGGATATGATTTTATCTCCATCAACAATTTAAAAGCTTAGCCATGATGGACTGACTTGGGATGCTGGAGCATTATAATAACAATGTCCAAGTCCACTGAGGCAAGGCTTTTCTAAGAGAACAATGTATGTAGATTTTAAAGAATCATGTGACACAGGTGGGGTCAGGAATGGTGAACTCATTTTCCCTTTCACTGGTCATGAATATTTGTGTTTATTGGGATACATTTGGGACATATTTCTTTTTTTCTGCCTGACTATTGAAGTTTTCCATACCAATTTCCTGCTTCGGAAATGTGTGTATATTAGAATGACTTCATTGTTGGCTCCTCTCACTTTATTTTGTACTATTTTTCATTAGGTTCATATACAGTACATGTCATGACAACTATACACATTCAATGTGGTTATTAGTCTGATGTATTTGGCTTGGTTCCCTGCACTGGACACCTGTCTCAAATTCCCATTCAGGCATGAGATCATTCTCCTGTCTCAACAGCTTTGCAGAAGCTTTCTGAAGGTCCTGAACTGATTACTAAACCGGTGTTTTCCCAGCCAAGTCCCACTTCACTTGGCATGTAAGTGCTGTCCTCAGCCATAAAATACTTGATCTGCTGTCATCCTAACCTCTTAGGGTATGTGCACTAGTACTTCTCTGGCTGTAAATTACCAGCAAAGATGTTCTTTTAAATAAAAGAAGGTAAAAGCTTAGGCCTCACATTAAGCAAGTCTAAACAGCTACAAATCATAGAGAAAGACAACTCTTTATTGAAAGCTTTTCCAGGCTAAAACATGTAAATAACGTGAGTAATTGTACATGTTTTGCTTATACTGTAGATATAAATGTTAGGTGATCAGCATAATTAGTAATGTTATGAATATGGATAAAGCCCAGCTTCACAACACAATCTCTCACACTTCCTCCTTAAAACCTCCTTTTCATACATGCCTTTTTTCCTGCGGTCTTTAGGTCGGTCCAGCGATGTCACTGGCCCATTGAGCATTCCTTCCTCCAAGGCAGGAGTACTGTGAGCCTCACCCACGGCCAGGTTCCTGATGACTAGGGCTCACAGCATGTGGTTTGGATGACACCAGGGGGTTTATTTGCTAAAGCTGGAGAGTCCAAATCAGACTCCCTTCTGCATAGAAACCAATCAGCTTCTAACCTCAGCTTGTTCAATGAAGCTTTGGCAATGAAACCTGGAAGCTGATTGGTTTCTATGCAGAAG